TTTTTTTTGATAAAAAAGAGAACAAAACCTAGTCTTTTAGTGATTGATTTGAATTTTTTGCACGTTGGTATTTTCGCCCAGTTGGCAAAATTATTTTCTTTTCGCGTTTAAAACATAATCGAAACCGCGTAATTGTTTGCTTTTTGCTCCAAGTTCAATAGTTTGTGAAAAAAATGCATTTAATTCTTAAAATTTTGACAATTTTTGACGTTTTAAGCGACAGTTAATGTTTAMTCTGAAATAAGCTRAAATATTTGAAATAATAAAATAAAACAACAGTGTACATAAAACGATCACAACGTTACATAATAATTTTATTGTCTTGAGTAATAAGTATAAGAACGCATAAAATGCCCCTAAATATAAAAATCCATAAAAAACATTATAGGGGCTCGTTCATAAATTTAGCAAATTCAATCTAGATTATGGGATATGTTGTGGGGCGATTTTTATAGCTTTCAATATAGCAACACATTGTTTTATTAAATCAAACAATTTAATTTTTTAAACTTGGCCGTTAAATGTTATCAAGTTTAAAAATGCAATTAGTCGGATTAGTCTATGAAGAATTTTATTGCAACCACAAAGGGTCGAACTTAATTTAAATAGTAATTAAATTCATCTGTATTTGATTTTAATTAAATGTAGATATAAACTGATTAAAGTGGTACCCGTTCTATCGCATTGCTTTGAGCAAATCGTAATTGGATTAGAATTACTCTGGATCTAAATTTACAGCGGCGCTCTTTTAGTGCCCAACCACACACGATCAATATTGAAATTTCGAAGGTGTTGTTAATTAAATAAATATCACAAATTGGTGAAAATTTTCGTGCGGTTTCATCCAACTCACATAATTTCCTATCGTCGGCGTGCACACTTTTATCCACTTCCTGTTTTTCGTCTTCATTTTTTTCACTCGCGACAGTTTCCGGACACGATTTAGAGTCCTCAAGATCAATCGGTGATGAGGAAGAACAATAACTATTTTTCGGTGAAGGAGTTTTAACGTCGGAGTTTTCAAACCACTTAGCACCCAAAGTCTGATTAACGACGGCTGGTTCGCTGGAAGTTTCAGTGGAGTTGTAGAAAATCTGCGTATTGTTGAGTCTCAAGTCGATGCCGAAGGACTGAGTGTTATTTTTTTGCAAATCGGAGATGAGCCAGTTTTTGGGCCTTTTCGTGTCATCCTGCGAAGTGGTTTGGAACTCCTCTTCCATTTTAATAGTTGGCGAAGTCTTGATGTTTGAACTCAGGTTGAGACACTGCTCACTCACCGTCGTGTTGTTATTTTCGAAAGACTTAGACACGAATTGTGTTAATTTCTCCATGATAATAGTCGATAATCTGTGTTATATTTTGGGGGATCATATGGAAACTGAAATCACCATTTCAAATCTGGGAGTTGGGTTACTATAGAAACCCGGAGTCGGAATAGACGGCGGAGTTGCGGTCCGGGTTAGCCCCGCCCTTGATTACCAAAGCCTGCGTTCGGATTGGAGCTGCGTTGCCGAAGGGAGGGGTTCCGATTTTCTCCACGAGTTGGTCCCTTTATTTATGGCTATGAGATAAGTCAATAGCTTACTCTCTAAGTGGCTGACATTTTTTACCACTTGTTTTTCCTACTGCCATAATTATGCAGATTTACGATAATGATTGTCGGTCGCATAAAATTTAATACTGACTTCGAAATTATACAACTTTATGACGAATACGTAGCACATATTTATGCTAATGCTTCAACCTGATTTCAATCATCTTCACACATCTAACAACTTTGTTGTTTGCAAAACAACTCCCGCCTCCCATTTGGGTGCGGGCGCGTTTATACTTTCTTTTCCTTTATTCTTAAATTACAAAGAAATATTTCCAACATCAACTTTATTTATTTACAACTCATTCACATTTAATCTCAAACTTGTACTCAACAGTAAATCTCTAACCTTTTAAATGACAATCAAAATAAATATTCCTATAAACAATTTTTTTTATTTGTGTCCACTCTCCAGAAGCAATAAAACTCATTAATTTCTTGGATTTTTATTTTAATTTTGGAAGCCGCTTTTTATATAAAAAAATACTGCTAACATCACAATTTCGTTGAAAAACAGTCGAGAAAATAAAATTTTCTCTACTCTCACATACTTTAATTTACAAATTAAATGTTAAAAAGTACGAATTTTGCAACAAAAATTTCGTCACAAAATACTTCTGCAAATCCTACTAACTGCAGCAAATTAAAAATAAGACTCAAATTTGTAAAGAACGAGATACAGAATTACTAATTATTTTTAAATAATTTTTGCATTTCTTTTGGCTATAATTATGTGTCTCTTTAAATCAACTATTACAAACTCAATCAAAACAAAAAAACTAATAAATTTTCGAAAAAAAATACTATCAAAGATTCTGGAACATCCGTATAACAATAATAAATGTGATTGTGATTAAAGTAATAATAATTTCTTATTTTTAATAAACTAGAAATTCAGACACTTCTTGATTGTTAAAAATTCACTTATTGTGTGTACTGGAAATATTTTTTTTCTTTTTTAGGAATTATTTTGAAAATGTATAAAACTTAAAATTTTTGCTTAAGTCCAAAAAATGTCAACATATGGTAACATTTTTTAAATTTTTTTGTTTGATATAAAAAAATCTCTTAGCTCTAGCAGCTTCGATGTTGTCATTGTGCAAATAGAAAAGTCATAAAGTGTAGAGTTAAAGAACCTTTCGCCGTTTTTATCTTTAATTTTTAATCTTAATCTTAAAATTTACTAAAGTCGCAGTGGCCACTTCCGTGTGTAAATTTGTAAAAATTGAGTTGTGTAAATCTGACTTTAAACATGCAATTTTTTTTAGGGAGATATCTACGAAAAATAACAATTCTCAAAAAGTCGGCTTAGAAATACTTCACATGTAAAATCTACTGCCCCTGTCACAATTTAGTTACATCTGCTACCAACGTAGACACAACTCACATATTAAAGGGGCTGCCAATTTTGCAATAAATTAAATGGCCACAATGAATTGACCGCGACTTTAGATATTGTTTTTATCCAGCGCCAGAAAATTAAAATAAATAAAACTTAACAAAAGAAACGATTTTTTTTCGTATTGAAATATCTCATGGATTTCTTATAGATCGATTCTTCTCATCCAAGTGGCCTGTGACTTTGAAATTAAGTTGGCAACATTAAAAAATGTAGCAACAGAAAGTATGAAAACTGATTTGTTTTTATTTGTAACCCTCTCTATATATTTTTGTTATGTTTTATATTATGTATTTTATTGTTTTTGTACTTTTTAGTGAGTTAACATTTGTTTTAATAACAATGATTTTTATCACTTACAAATAAATAATAATTATATAGTTTAGATTGACTAATTTTTATCATCCAAAGCATTTAGCATTTTCTGTGTTTCTAAACACAATTTAATGAATCGATCATTTAGTATGTGTATATTGTGACAAAAATTGTTGGTTGCATACATAGCCATTGTGTGTCGAACAGAAAACTGTAATCGCCAAATAGCTTTTCTGATTTTGAAATGGTTTTTAGAACTCAGGAAATTGTAAAAGAAGAAAAAAAACCCTCTTTAGAGGAAACTCTACAATAAAAACAAAGGGCATAATACAGAGTGTGAAAATAGTGGAAAATAGGCACCAGATGTTTCAACTCTAACAAAAGAACCAACTTGGCCTCCGATTCGATAAATCGAATAAAGTTTTAAATTTAATGCTATAAATGGAAGGGAYAGAGACATACAAAGTGTTTCAGAACTCGTGCCCCAGAAAAAATACCAGGAACATGGAAAAAAATATTAAAAAAATTCAAATTTCCTCCGCCTATCGTGGTTCTTTTTCCGTCTTCGCGAGCTCTAAACGTGGATAAGTAAATTGCGACATTTAATTAAGTAGAATTGTAAATGTCTAAGATTATTATTTTGTTCGTCGGATTTCCCTTTCAGAAGGGTTAGTTGCTTGGCAACTAATTTGATGGTATTAAAATCCCCAAGTTTCCAAGTCTTGCGGCGGCATCTTCGACTTGCATCTCGCACTAATTAGACAATTAATGAAATCGCTCCTTATTAGAAACAGTAAATGAATTTACGGGGCGTTAGAAATAAAACGAATGTAACTTTGGTGAACTTTTAATTGAAATTCTTTGTTCGGAAACAATATTAACTTATATAAAAATAATACATTTCACATGTACTTAGAGAAAATAATTGCTGCGAAAACTTTAACAAAGAATATAATACGAGCAGAGTTTGAAATGATTTTTCGGTGAAATTATGGTAGAGATCACTGGCAAAAAAAAATTAAATATTCTTTATTAAAGCGACATTGTTTCAATTATTATTATTTGACACCAATCACATTTGTTAACTGAAGACGAGGATAAATACCGGACAATACCCATTTAGCCTGTGCATGAAATAAAAAATTAAACCGACAAAATTTGCTTTTGCGCTAAGTGGTGGCTAAACAAATATTCACACTTAAATAAGACTAACTTAAAATGAGAAAGGAATACGTGAGACACGCAAAAGGAATGGATCTCGGAGTGTTGAAGGAACGAAGACTTCTGTAGCCAAAAGGACAACTCATTCACACATACAGCTTAAAACAAAACAAAAACAACGATGAGTAAATATTGCATCTACAAAAAAACAAAGGTTGAAGATCTCACTTATCGTCGCTAAATCAAATTTGATACCAATATTTTTGGCAAGGTACTGTACAAACCTGTTCAACACCTATAAAAAAAAACATCGACTAATACTTGCGAGTCTTATTATAGTTATAATATATCTAAAAGTATCACAAATAAACTTTAAGGATTTCAGGTTCACTAACTTATTATCACATGACTTTATATATTACAAAACTCATTCACACGCGGACATGTCAAATCACAGTGGATGATTAGGATATCAAGGAAGGACTAGGTTAGGAGCCAGAAGTCCTCATAAGGATCAAGGTTACAAATACCGAATCTAACAGRAGACGATACTGCACTTAATTCCCCTTTTCTCGAATTAAAGGAGAAGCAACTAATTATTTAAGCACTCACACATTTTTTTAACAAATATAACCTAAAATACCAAACCACATGCATAACTACTTATTCTAAATTTATTCAACTTAAGTGTATAACTTTTAACTTTCAATTATCTAACAATTAAACTGATGCTTAATTAAATAAGTGCACTGTAGAATTACTTAGACTTACATACAGTTAAACACTACACACTTAAGCACTTGTTTTCTTTGAAATTCCCAGTTTTTTTTTTAACATTAGTAATTTGAATTAGTTAAACCTATACTCAGTCTTTTGTTACTATATAAAAAAACGAAAACAAATCAATACTTCTTAAATTAGGTGACAGTTAACAATAACAACTTTGCGAGTATAGGTTCTCCTTGTTGATATTTAAGTAATGTTTCTAAAGAACCCACCCTCTTGATCCTGGTAAAACCTGGCTTGAGTTATCGCGCCCCACCCCGATTCTACAATTTGTCTATAACCCCTTATACCCTAAAAAAAAATACAATTCACTGAATCAATCACGACAAAACGCACCTGTGTGACTTCATATTCCATAAAGTTGTGAAAGTCTTTCGTTAAGTTGTGGTGGAAATTGATCACTAAATCGGCGCCAATTCTCAGGCCCTACTTGCGATTTAAAACTGTGTAGAATCTAAAAACCCCGACTTGAAACGGAAAGAAATAAAACACAAATACGACTACCTTAATAAAAGCCTCTTTCAAATCATCTTTTGGTGTGATCCACGATGCTACAGCATCACAGAAAAAAATAAAATCGTTTACTACTCCTCCCGGATTTAACTGTATCATGTGACACATGCCACGGAAAGCGTTATCTTTCTCTTCGTTATCCCTGATATTTCGCAATGATATGCACCTGCAATACCGCCAGTCAGGAATTGTTCGTTTTTACTTATTTCGATATGTAGTGCAAGTGTTTGACACATTTACAGTAGGGTATTGCTATAATTAACCCACTTTAACAACTCAAGGGTGGAAAAAATTATGTGCAAATCCCCCTGCGGTATTAAAGCTGGTGCTGGTGTGTCACACTTGCTTTGAATTGGGCAACCCTTTTCAATTTTCTTTTTGAAATTGGAAAGAGTTGTTTGTAAGTTATAGTGAAAGGAGGAAGCATCAAAAGGATAATTGCTATTAAAAAAGCTTGCTTCCTCATAATAAAAATAAAATAAACCAAAAACTAATTGGATTAATAGGTAAAAATAAATAATAAAAAGAGGGTTTACAGACCACTGTCGTACAAACTGTTGTAACATGGGCGCGACATCATGGGGGCAGACAAAACCTAGTCGACCAATTGTTATGGCTATACCGAGAACAAAAACAACAAAAAACTCAACTTAATTTACAAATAAATCATTACAAGTTATATAACTATAAATAAGTATCAATTATAGATAATAAAATACGAAATGATAGTAAGTACATATAAATTATGAACAAAATCAGTGCTTGATAAAAACAGAACTGTCTGTAAATAAATAAATGGAGAAATTATACGTAAATACTTAAATAAATGACAGTGTTTGGTCGGTCTTATACAGTGGATCCCATTTCGTAATATTGACGTTTTCACTTTCATAAGTAATCACTGGTCTAATGGAGATAAAACAAACTTCACACAGTGTTAACTAAAAAATGCATTTTGGGAACAGGAATTTTAAACACCAAACAAAAAATACCAATTCTCATTTTGCATAAGAATTGAAAAAGTAAAATAAATCAAGTCGATTCACTGCAAATCAATCAACAAAAACAATTTATAAAATTCAGGATTCACTGTAAACAAAGTTCCAATTTTATCAACACTGTTGCACATTTCTTAGATGCCCAAAAACGCATCTTAATTACTTCGCTAAACATTAACATAACACTTTGTAAGATCCACAAATCAATGTATAACAAGCTTATTCGACAACACACTAGCGTGAAATCCCAATTCATTGATATGCTTCACTTACTTAGCCTTAATAGCAACAATGCCTCAAGCCATAAAAAGTGTACACACTTTTTATGTGGTCGAATAGAAACAATACAAAATTATTGAGTGAAAATAAATGACAAGTGTATTGTTTCCAGAGACCTGAAAAGCTACGAAAACAATATCGTACCTTACACCACCCTAAAAACTTTAATAAAATAAAGATACTTGCAGACGACTTGCATTTATAATTAACATGCAGGTTAAATAAAAAATTAGCTAACGCAATCAACTTACCAGTATTTTCTGATAGTGTTTTAGGAGTATTTGGCCTGTTTATAATTTCAATAAGTTGATTTAAAACTAAAGGTATATAAGGTCGTGTGTCGGCACCTGGAATTTTTTACTCAAATAAACCAATTAAAAAAAAACTAAAGTAATACCAAATTTAATACTAATTTCTCCAATCGCCCAAGTGGCATTATTGCAGACTGAAATATATTCGGGATTCAAATTTTGCCCGAGTATTGGCAAAAAATCGGGTATACGAGGTCGTACATGTTGAAAACAAGCTTTAGTAAGATCACCAAGCAATGCAAACGACGACTGTCTAACTTCAGGCATTGAATCTTGCATACAATGGTGAAGCAAATCCATAATATTACTATTTTGCACTAGTTTCTCTATATGGCCATCTAAACCTTCAGCTAATCCAGACAACAAATCTAAAGCTACAATCATGAAATCTTTATCAGGTGCATCAAACTGGTCAGGATTTTGCATGTTTGCCTAAAAATGCACAAACATAAAATAATTCAACAAAACAATGAAATTTTACCATCTGCAAATAAAGTGTGTGTTGGACTAACGAAACACATCTACAATAAACTGGTTCACAGTAGGGTAAAAATCCAGACTGCAACGCAGTCGCAATACTTGATAAACACTAAAATTGAGTTGTTGGAGAAACTGTTAATTAGTGAGAAAACAAACCTCCAATAACGGAAACAAGTCCTTGTCTTCATCTTTGAGGATGTTCCACTTTTGGATCAAAGGTGGCATTAGCAAACTGATATAATCGGGTTTATTTAAATGGTGTCCCACTGAATCAGCCAATGTCCCAATAGCGTCGTATAAAATTAACAAATTCTTGTGCTGATACTTCGAGAAGGCGAATACTAAAGTTTCTAATATAAAACCTAAATATGGCACGAGTTCGGTGCAAGCTTCCTCTTCCAATGTCGCAAATGCCGAACAAGCCGCTTCTTGAACGCGTTTATTACCGTCAAGAATTTTTTTAAGTAATTCAGTCATAAGAGGCTTCAAATACAAATCATGTGGTTGAGCGACAACCCAATGCGAATATCTACTAAGCGTCCAACACGTTATCGCCCGCACAAGCGCCTTTTTATCATTCAAACAACTGAATAGATACGGAATCAACTCAGGAAGATAATTCACCATTCCGGACATACACCCCTCTGCTATCGCACCTGAAACAAAGCAATGTACCCAATCCTGTTATCATTTCCACCCCAACCTAAAGCCAAAATTCCCGATTCCTTGATATTCCAYTCCTGGTGGAAAAGCGTCTCTTTCAAGATGGGCGTAAGGATCGGTAATAAATCKTCCCGGAAAACATTCGCTAACACATCCAAAGCTGCAGCACTACATTTACGCAAATTCCAGTCCGATAAAGAACCGTCATCGCCGTCATCTCCGTCGTCAAAATCCTCATCTGTTTCTACACTACCATTTTCCGAATTTGTGCCGTTCTGTGTTGCTGAAGTTGCTTTAATTGTAGTCTTTGATTTGTGAAAACGAGGACGGATGTCTTCCTCGCGGTCGGGAACTGTCTCGTCCTCCTCCACGTCACCCTAAAATTCGATTATTTTTCATTGTCGTAAAAATTAATGGTGCAGAAAATAAATCATTGTTTTCATGCATACTTTGAGCAAAATAATGTCGATTTCGGAATATTTCATGCTCCTGACTAAGACAGGAATCAGCCTGCTGAGATAGGGCCCCAGGACGTTTCTGCACACAGGTTGTTCCGCCAAAGACAGCCAAAACTCGCAGGCTTCTAATGCAACCCCCTCGTCGGCATCCTGCGTCCTCACTAACATATATTCAATTATGTTTTCGATTTGGGGTATGAGCCGATCGAGACGCACTTCCAGGAGCATAACCAACGCTCTGCACACATTTTTACGCACTTCGGGATCATCATCAGTGGCAACGTGGAATAAATTCTAAAAGTGGGGATGTAGCAATGTTAGATTGTCGTGTTGTTTACCGTTAAAAAAGAGTCGATGTGTGACATAAGGGCTTTGGCCCGATGCGTGATGAACTGATTGACACAGCCTATGGCGTAGGATCGAATCTTGGGGCTCGAGTGGTTGAAAAATTGTAGAAACTTAGGGATTAAAATGTCAAGAGGGTTGTTTGTTGTGTCAGCGTCTAACGCTTCAGCCGAGTCTTCGCAAATTTTTTGCAAAGCTCCAAACGCACCCTCGCAAACATTGTAGTCTTGGGAGTCCAACATTGTGCATAAAGCGGGCAATAATTCGGGCCATGAAGATAAGTCGCCTTTGCTCGCGATTGTTGTTATTAAGATACCGACAGTGGCCCTTATTAAGGGGGAGGGGTCCCCCACGGCTTGTAAACATTCGTTTTTTACGAAATTCGTCACACTAAGTTGTAAACTATTATAATGCGTTTTAACGTTATTCTTTAATATTAAACCACTTAGCGATCGGGTTGGTTCGTCTTCTGTGGTTAGTTTTGTTAAAACAAACATTAAATAATTGTTAAAGTCGGGGTATTTGTTCAACTCCTCCAGTTTCTACACACGTTAAGGAAATTATCACAAAGGAAAAAATACATTAAAACACAACAAATTATGTAAACAAACTGAAAACAAAAATGGGTAAAGCCACCATTTGGGCGTTTTACTTATAAATCCCGTGTTATTTCTCGATATTACGAATATTCGCCACGGTAATTAGAAAGGATACTTGCTGAACAGTCCTTTGAGTTGCTGTATCTGGTGATTGTGACTCCTTGAGTAAGGTTAAAATTTCCCGCAGTCCTTCTTGTTGAGGAGTCCACTCCATTTTCATGTCGTGTTTAATTTAAACAACAATTCTATAACTTAAATGATTTCAAAATACACGTTTTATTATAAAATCACAAAAGATGAGGCKGAGGCCGACATCGAACTTCAGCACAAATATTTCACTGAAAAAGAGGGGGAAGATAACGGAAACGGAAAACCTAACAGTTTTGCTACTTTGAGTACATATTCAAAATTTTAACTCAACCAAACGTAACATCAATAGTACGAAAAATAATTACTTTAATTTTGAAATAGCAACAAATACAATTTGTTTTTAATGTTACCCACTTAAATTTTTCACAATGTGAGACAACAAACCGCGCGAACTTTAAATTTTGTTTACACCACATGACAACTTATTATTGTCTATGTTATTGTTACTGCGTCAAACTCTTTATTAAAATCATAAATTATCACAATAAAATAAAGCTTATCGCTTTAATAGATTTCTATTTTTAACTTCAACCCAGCTTTTATTAATTGTTATGCCTCTTATGACACAACCATATCTAAAATAACTAAAAAAATGTGAAGAAGCGAATGATATCTATCCTTGATATTTTCATTAACATTACCTTAAAAGTTACAGTAATAAGTTTCACTATAATTTATTTTTTTAGATTGCTCAAAAAATAAACAAGACGTAAAATAAAACAATAAAATTATTTTAAGACTCGGTGTGTATCATTTAATTGATCTTATGTTACATTAAACTTGTTGACTATACTCGTAACAGAAAACATKAAATGAATTAATTTTATTTGTATTTGGTTAAAAAAAATTAAATTAAGCGCCAATTTGTAGATGTCCGTGCGCAGCAAGAGAGATGACAGCACGCAGCAAAACACGCATGACAGAGACAGAACAGCTGATTAAACTTGTCAATTGTCATTTCATTAATTTTTTAGAAATAATTGTTTATTTCTTGGTGTTTGAGAAAAAATGGGGTGCGATGGTGGTACAATTCCTCGTCGGGACGAATTAGTAAGAGTAAAAAAGAAGCCAGAAGCGGTAAGCATTAATAGTTTTTAAAGTTTCATCATTGATCTAACCTCATTTCAGAAAGACAAGGATTCGGAATTAATATTTCAGTGGAGATATTGTGCAATTACTCAACAGTTGCTCCAACTTCCGATTGTAATGTGTGGCTTGGGTAAACTTTACAACAAAATGTCATTAATTGAGTCGCTTCTTAATCGCGAAACAATGCCACAAAGTGCATTGCACATRAAGGGCCTTAAAGTAAGTCTAAAGTSTRTTATRTGCTTRAAYATAATTGRRGGTTTTAGGACATAAAAGATTTGAATTTGACCCRGAATCCTGCTTTTAAAAATGTTGACAAAAACCATGGTGACAGTGACAAGACAGCCCCTTACATTTGTCCAGTAATTGGACTTGAAATGTCTGGGAAATTCCGATTTGTGGCTTTGTGGTCATGTGGATGTGTCTTCTCAGAACGGGCATTAAAGGAAATTGATACTAAAAACTGCCACAAAGTGAGTCTTAATTTTGCAACTATTTATCTAATTTATTGTTTGTAGTGCCAAAAACCATTCACAGACGACGATGTTGTTGTTTTAAACGGCAATGAGGAGGACCTCGTGGTCATGAAACAAAGAATGGAGTTGCGCCAGCAGAAATTTAAAAAAAATAGAGAAAAAAACAAGAAAGTTGTCAAAGTGGAAGAAGAAACACCGACACAAGTAATTCTTACAACCTATATAATTATAATTCTGATTAATACGTTTTTTTATAGGTTGTCGATGAAACAAAGCCATCAACAAGTTCAACAATAGTTTCTAAAAAGGTATTTTTTGTGTTTCATAATTTAGCACTTATAAAAAATTAAATTTTTCTCAGGTTGAACTGGATTCTAAAAAAACTAAAAAAAGTGTACCACCGATAAACGGCGCTAAACGTCCAGGTTCCATTAAGGAAAGTACCCACGATGTGAAAAAAATGAAACCATCATATAGTGTTGCAAAAGATCCAAAGGTATCAGATGTTTACAAATCTATATTTACGACACATGAATCAGAAAAACAACAAAATAGGGCTCACTGGGTCACATATAATCCCTTTTACAATTGAATCACATAAAAATGCATGTTATTTTATTGGGAATAAAATTACAGAAATTCTTCTGTAGACGTTTCTGTTGCTTCAATTAACAACCCAAAGTCCAATTCTGTTAAACTTGCTTTGGCTGTAAGCAAATCAAGAAATGTGTCCAATGGTGATAACCTYTCACCTGACGGAAACGCAGTCAGACCTAAAACACATAAAARATTGATTGAAAAAAATTGAAAKTTGAAAAAACCTCTGAAAGCTTTATTTTTCTGAATTCCGTGTAAKCGTGCTGTTCCAGTRTCAACCCCCGATAASACATTRAAAGCATGTTCCCTAGCCCTCAACATGAGACTCACAGGGTGATTCCATTGATTTAAGAGCCTTTTAGCCCTTGATCTCGGTAGTAAAGTCAAGAGTTTTAATTTCTTGTGTAAACCATTTTTACAATTATCAATATCTAAAACAATTCACTATTAAAAAGTCCGGCTTTGAGTCGACTCACCCGCCATAATAATTTTCATAACGTCGACTTGCAACTCGAGAACATTGCGTTGAATGTATTGCAAAAACATATCAAAACTTAGAGTTTTGTACCCCAAAAAGGCAAAAAACGAAGTAAAACCCTGAGGTAGCGGAAACGCAATTGACTCAACTGAGAGATAATATCGTTCCAGTATWGTAAACAAAATATACCGCCTTTCTTCTTGTAATTGCTCGCTAAAAACTCGATTTGAGGCATTTTCAAAGTGTCAGAATTGAGTTACATGTAAACAAATCCTTTTTCCAGCTCCTGTCGGGGGTCAAAAGTCGCCGCTTTGCATAAAATCTGGCACAAATATCGCGATTGTTCGAGTTGGGCTGTGATGTATCTCGTGGCGACGGCATGCACGTGCATGGGAGTTTGCGATTGCCATTGGAATTTGCTGATTTTATTCTCAGCGCTTTGTTTCAATAAATGCATACTGAGTTCGCGTAAATTCTGGAAAATGGGGCTGCAGACGGGGCAAAACAGCGCAATACTTACAACTGAGATTATGTGTTCTTGTTTACTCGCTGTGCAGCTTTCGATTTCGTAAAAGGGCAAAGCGTCGAGCGACTTTCGGCATTGATTCCCGATRGAGAGAAAGTCGTTGAGGACTGCTGATGACCCCAGAGTGGCAGTGGGGGACATCGGAGTGCTGGATCTTGACAATGCCTCAGGCTGGTAACACACGAGTGACACTAATAGTTTTTCTACGACTTGTGTGGGTCTGAATCGTTGCTTCCCTTTTGATATTCTCGCGAGTTGGTCCCAGAGTTTCACCCAAATGTCACTTCTGTATGGAACTATGCGTTGTTGGGGCGACAACAACATCATAGAAGCGTTCCAAAGAACGTCTTGTGACAAACATATCATTTTATTATTGATTCTCACTTCTAATTCATTGCCCATATGTTGGGTGGTTARTGGTAATAAATTCACTAAGTGACTGGCGTCTGACGGTAAGTTTCTTTGTACTGAAGCGTACGAACTTCCTATCAAAAATTCCCTCAACAATTGAGACAAACCCAAACTTAGAGGTTTCTCAGCTTGCCATGAAATCAACTGAAAAACACTCTCAAATCTAATTGAGTGAAGTCATTCATACCTCTGAAACGGTCTCAATTTCGCTCCTATGCAAAATCAAATAATGTATTATTGACAATTTATTTCCAAGATGAGCATTACTTTTGAAAGTTTGCACAAGCAAACTTGTTGGTACCGTCATATCAATTAAATCTAAAGTCGCTAAATTAATCACTTCGTTTCCTATAGTCACAAGTGATGTTAGACACATTTTGTACGTTTCGTCGGTTAATAAAGGTTTTGTTATCACGTGACAACAAGGCTCATGCATTGCTCCTATATCTAACAAATGAGTACATACTTCTGGTATAAAAACCAGCATGTGGTCACCTACAACCCATYATTTATATTTGGGTAAAAACCGGTTTTTAGTACCGTGATATTTAAATAGGGGGCGTATTGTTTTGGCTTTGCTCCAGGGAAGTCCCGGAACGACACAATGGATGACACAGCTTTGGTGTAACACAGTCACCGAGTAAGCAAAATGGACTAAACTCGTGTCGTCATCTTTYAGTTCAGTTGTGGGCTGGATTGGCTACAAATGCGGTTACAGAAATGTAATAGTCACACCTGGGATTTTTTCTACTTGGTACAAGTAGTGATGGCACACGCAGACGTAACCGTTTGAGTTGGTCAAAACGATCAAATCAAGGGAACAGTCATGGATGCGTAAAGGTAGACAATCGTCTTCGTAGATGCCACAACTACCGGAAACGGTGGACAGGTGGGGTAAATTCAGCGGTATGTTGAGCTAAAACAGCAGTTAAAGGATTTTTTTTTCTAATTTGCGTTTATAATACGTTTATTAACGTCTATCAGTAGGAGTCGTTTATGGCTATCTATAAAAGCACACTGTACTTTAATGAATTTAGGGTTATTTAGTTTTTGTATGCCGCTTTTGACTTGTCAGGTAACAAATTTTGTGTTGTTGCTTCGGCAATTTTAGTGCAAACTAAATTCTGTTGGCTCATATTTTATTTATTATTATTATGTTGTAACACTAATAACTAATAATTTGTAAATTTTATTTTTAATGACAGACGGCAGAAATGATTCAAAAAATCAGGTAGGTGCCGAGTGTTACCAACTAACACAAAATTCTCTAGACGACAAAAATATATATTTTTTTAATTAAAATAAGAAAAAAGGGGGCGCAAATTAGAAAAAATAGCATAAAATACTCGTCCCATAGAAAACTCGCTTACGGCGATTCGTGTTATAAAACTTGTTCTTTAATATACTATTTTTAACACTACTTACCACACTTTCGTGRGGTAAATCATCGTGGAATTGCAGGCCTGAAAGAGTCGGTAAGGTTTTGCTTGTAAGACTTGGGGTTTCCTCTTCGCCTTCGACGAGGCATCTTGTTGGTTTACGGTTGTGGATGTAGTAAAGGGTTTGATGGATTGGGTCCCACTGGGCCCAAGTAAATTTTCGCACTAGTGATTCGTAAACGAAGTTTTCTGCATTCAACTCATTCTCATTTTTTATCTGATATTGTAAAATGCCTAAATAAAGTWATAAACCGAATTAAATATGTCTTTTATTCGAAAACACTTACATTCCTGGTGAATTAATATCAAGAATTTCACTGGCGAATTTTCCGATAGAACGGAATGTTTTTGGTAAAGGAATTGTACCAATATTTGCTTCGACCGTTCAAGGTCTAAATCACAAATTTTATTTTTTGTGCCAATTTTTAATAAATAAGGATTGTACGTAAAGATTTTGGTATCATTGGGATCGATTTTTTTAATAACATAAGCAAGAAAAGTTTTACTACTATCTATGGAAGCTTGAATACAATTCACTACACACTCAAAMGTGTGGATTATAGTTAAGTCATTCGTCGAAAATGAATATAATCCGATTTTAGTAACGCGTTTTTGAGTTTTGCTCGATTGCACCCAACTGAAAAGTAAAGTCTCGTCCTGCTCTTGGCCCAACAAACGCCACTCGTTTGCCTCATCTGAAAAAATGACAAATTTCGGTTTACTTAGTAACTGTCAGTTGCCACTCGGTAACTGCCAATTGCCACTTGGTAGCTGTTAATTCACATATTAACTGTCAATTGTCAGTTGGTACGTATATGACATTTTCTTAGTAACTGTTTGATTTGGTAACCAGCGAACTGAACAAAGTTTATTGTTGGTATATGAATATGAGTAATATGAGAATATGACATTTGGGACTTGTTAGTAACTTCCACCATTTTTGTTTTAAACTGTCATTTGACAGTTAGTAGGTAGCAATTGGCATGTAGTAACTGTCAAAAACTGTATAATAATTCTAATTTCGAGTTGTAAGAAACTACATCAAAAAAATAAAAACTAGATTTCAAGCAGCATTTGAAATTTTGTTGATGGTATAGAGGCATGCGCGAAACCGATATCAACGATTGTAGAAATGATAGAATTCATTATTATGACGCAGCAAAATGATAAAGAGAGGATAAAACGAAACAAACCACGTGTCTGTGGCGTAATATGTCTAAAAAGTAATTTTTATTAGACTATTGATAAATGAAAATTTCCACGCATGCGCATTGCTGTTGGTGATAAGAAAATCGATATTAATAAAAATAGTCAACAGTTTATTTCTTTGTAAATAAGAATAATGATGCTGTTTGTTTGATCCACTTGTTGGAACAGAGATTATGAACAATTAGCTCACCTTCAGGATTTTTTCCTAAAATTATAGAGCACAATTTTGAGGCAAAATTATCCACTGTCACCATCACAGGCCTTGCAACGTTGTGTCTGATCACAAATTTGAACCAGTTATCACATCTCTTGAAGCAAAATTATTTATTTTCGAAAAATGCGAATTGGAGGAGAAAAAGTCTTAAGTTAAGAAAAGTATTTGAACGTGCTTTACATTMGACTCGATGGTTTTAATTGGTTGTTTTGCAATGACGGTGAGTGTAATTGAAGCGATAATATTTTGCAAATGGGMTTWTTTTATCGCGTGAATTGGGTTAGATTTGAAGTTGGCGCGTCAACAGTTTTGTTACGTTGGTAACGTCTGAAAGTTATGTAGTGCCACCACTCACCATCTGTTTGTTTAATGGTTTGTGCGACTCTCGTTTTTAATTAGTAAGAATTTAATGTTTTTTTTTWAAAACTTTAGGTGTATTTTCAAACATTAGGGAGTATTGTAAACGTTATACAATAAAAAATTACCCGCAATGCAACCATTAGGAGAAAATGCTGCAAACACACCAGCCTTTTTAGGTAAATTATGGAAAATGGTTAATGACCCGTCGACGGACCACCTGATCTGCTGGAGTCCGGTGAGTAATGTAGTTTTATATATGTTTAAAACAAGGCAATGTGAACCATGGATTAATTTCCCATCATTCAGGCTCAATGTCCATTTTGTACACCCGTACTCAAATCAGGGTCTGGGGGGCACGAGACACAACCCATTTTCTACCTTAACTTTAAATAAGTTAAATAGGGCCGATTACGTTTACCTTTATCCCCTAGAACGGCGTTTTAATTACCTTTTCTATGATAAAAAAACATCGGCCATGTTTAATTAAGGTAGGTCTAGGGTAAAGTGGGGTAATTGAGCCGAAGGGGACATGATCTAACAACAGTTTCACATGGAAATTTACCGATTTGAAATACTTATCAGTGATTTTTTTTAGTCTGGTACTAGCTTTGTGATACCAAACCAAGCCCAATTTTGGTATGAACTTCTTCCTCTCTATTACAAACARAATAATATGAGTAGCTTCGTGAGGCAATTGAATATGTGTAAGTATTAATTTATCAATTGCATGCACAACTGAATCTAATAATAATACCTTCGAAATCCAAGTCGTAAAATCGTGGCCTATATCTAAAAAATAATAATTGAAAAACTTTTCTTATAGGCCACCTGGATGCCATTTTGTTGTTATTATCAGATCGGACCATGCCATTTTATGTTTATTCTAGTTTTATTCATTATTTCATCCATCGATTTTAGATGGTTTCCATAAAATGTCGACGGTTGAAAATGGTACAATGGACTCCGATAAAGACGAAATTCAATTTTCACATCCTTATTTTCTAAAAGATCACCCCGAACTCTTGCGTAATATCAAAAGAAAAGTAAGTCAAAAAACAACCAATCACGGTGTAACCCCCCCTAATTCTCAGGCAACCACTTCCAAAGCTTCAAACGAAAATAGTAATAAACATGACGATTTAACCAAGGTTTTAAGCGACGTTAAACAACTCAGAGGACGTCAAGTCAGTGTCGATAATCAATTAAACGCAATGAAACAAGAAAATGCTCTTCTGTGGCGCGAAGTGGCCATTCTTAGACAAAAACATTTAAAACAACAAAAAATCGTCAATAAGGTAGTGTTGTTTGTTTTGTTGTTTTTGTARTGATAAACTGTTTTTAGCTCATTCAATTCTTAGTTACGTTAGTTCAACCGTCTAGGATGACAGTTGGTGTAAAAAGGGGGTACCAATTGATGTTACACGAAAGTCCAAATAAAAAAAGTAAACTTAGTAATAATGGAAAAAGTAATAGTAATGCTGAAGGACCCACAATTCATGAATTGGACAGCGAACTGGATRTAACACCAAATTTATACGAGGAGGATGTCCCAGTTGTAAGTATCCATAGTCATGTTGTTGCTGTGTTTTTGGATAATTACTAATCAAGCTTTTCATTTTTTCATTCATTCGGGTAAAGGTGGAAGGAAGCCACATCGAAATTGAAAATGACATGGTATGTCAGCTTGTGTGACTAATTCCCTAAAAACACTAACACTGGTTGAATAGAGTGTAATTTTTAATAATTAGTTTGATTGTTTTCACGTCTTTTGTCAAACTTCTGGTGTCGGTGGTTTTTGTAAAAATCTCATTTCTTTGTTATTGGTTGTAGTTATAGGGTGAGTCGATATAAAAAGCGTCCTACTTTCTTTTAAAATAAAAAATGTAGTTTTGTTAGTCACGATTGACAGGACAACATTTTTATAATTCGCTTAAAATCATTCCGACTCACTCTAGATTTGTGTTAAAAATAAAAATTTCATCCAGATCGACAGCCCTGCTGCTTCTGTTGGTTCTCAACAAACAGATCTTAATTCACCACTACAATCTCAGTTACTAGTTGAAGAAAATGGAGAAGAAAATACATGGGACAAACCTGAATATGTGGTGGGTATAATTTAAAATTTTAAAATCACACGGGCGTGATTTTTTTTTGAGAACTCGTTTTATATATTTGTATAAATCGATCCTGGTTGTGGAGCAGTGTTTGTTACCATGTCATGTTCTTTTATATATTTGATGGACTTTAAGCTAAAAATAGTGAAATGTGTTGTTTTAGTCTGTTGGGTCGGTCGGTGCGCCAGAAGAGAGTTTAATTTTGCCGGAAGAGGATTTAAATGAGGAAACTTTGATTAATAGTTTAAAAAATGAAGCAGTTGTTGAACCAGTCGGTGTTGTTAATGACAATAGTGGCAGTTTTGATAATCAAAAAGTGTTTTTGAATCCGTCGACCCAGGATACGTTGTTGAGTAATTTAATTAAAAATAGTACTACGAAAGCTAYCAATGGAAAAAATGTGGTCCCAGTCACTGTACTGTCGTCGACTCCTGATACTAGTAACAATATGGCCATTGCCACTCGTGATACGAATTTGTGTGATGTAATAAAGAGGTAATACTGAACGTTTGTTTTTATTTGTTTTACAATGTTTTTATAGTATGCCAGGACCTAGTGATCCTTATACTTCGGATTTAAGTAACCACGTGGAAGCCACTCAGCAGGAATTAGATCAATTCAAGGATATTTTAAACGGATATAACCCATTTATTGATGCCAATGCCTTACTAGGGGTAAGTTACCAAACACGTTTTTAACGAGCCTTAATTTTTTTTCTTTTGACTTGATTGTATTTTTTTAAAAGCTCAGTCACTCCTTGTTCGAAATTACTAAGTTCGTAGTATGTTGTAATCATATAGTATTTTTTGTTTTAAGGAATTAAACAAGATCCCTCAAAACTTCAAAGATGTCTATGTAAGAATTTTAACAATAAATGAATGTTAATTGCAGTGACATCAAAAATGTTGTTGCAGTTCAAAATTTTGTGTTGTAATTAATTTTGTTTCAGCTTTTTAATGGCGAGTCTCCTGTTTATGATCTGAATGTTAATGACGATAAAAATGAGAATTTGATCGATCCTTGTAAGTTTATGTTGTAAAAAATGCCCGTTTAATTAATTGTACTTACTMTTAGCTGATCCTTTGGTTTCTGGTTCTGAARTAACCCCCTATGGAGATAACTTTGATTTTACTGAACTATTTGATGATTCCATTAARGAAGGGAATGCGGCAACTGTACAGACATCTGAAGCTGCATCGTCAACTGTTAATACACCACAAATTATCAAAGAAGAACCTATTTTCCCCGCTATACAACACAAAAAATAATTACTGATTTTAAACCCAACAGAAACAAATGTACAAAATTGGACTGATCAAATTGATCGGCCATCAAATTCGCGAATGTTGGTTTTGCGGATTGCATTTTTTTTTTGTTTGAGACTTTTAAACTAGCATGGTAAGGAAACTACTGTGACTTCAGATTGTGACTACGTGTGTTTATTTTTTTGATAAGAAATTTCTCAAATAGACTAAGATTTGAACATTTTTAAACCAATKTAGCAAACACGTTTGGCGATTTTATTTTACAACTGATCTAACTTATCTAAGACTTTGGTTCGTTTCGTAGCCTATTTTATTTAACATATAAATATTGCTATTTTTGTATGTATATTAGACTCGGAAAAACTGATGTACACTTTTTTCTTTACATATGTATTTATTAATTTTAATAGGTCCCATAAGTTCACACTGAAAGTCGATTGTTTCATGCAGCAAAAAATCAATAACGTAGTCAAAATTAACAAAAATATTGGTTTTTGGTTGTATAAAATGTTGAACTTGTAATATTTGCTTGATGCTGTTTTCTTGTAAGCTTTTATAGGCATCAAATACAGGCTGTAGGTTTCCTAAAAGTTATTTTTATTATCCATGTTACTAGTTCACTTCTTTTGTAATCATAATATATTTTTTGTTATTATTTGTTTTATATGTTTTCAGTAAATTATAACATTATACTATATTGTAGTGTTTTTTACCTTATTCAAATATTTCCTATCCCATCGCATTGATAGAATTATTCAATTCTGTTTTGCAAAAAAAGCAGTCGGTAATGAAGATTTTTTCTTTACAACAGCGTTGTTAACTCGGTKATTTTTTTCAAATTTGGAGAGTTTTTTTTATTTTAAATGTTTTTTATAAAGAACTGAAATATTTGTACATTATWTTCAAAAGTTTTATGAGACTACACTAGTACAATATTTTTTTTAGGTTCACTGATTTGACAAACGTCAAAACTCGTCCTTGAAAATGACGGTATCGCAGTTTGAGGTTATGGATTTGTATATTTTTTAAATATAAAAAGTAAAATGTTCATTTTGARCAGATCAGCAAAAAATACYTTTTTATTTATTATTACATGACGCTTTCTATCGAAATAAAACAATGTCACTTATGTTTAGAGCAAAATTCGGCAGCAATATTTTAAAAACCAAGACACAAAGTGTTACAAATCCATGGCAATGTATCAAAAACAACTCAAATGCGCCCCCAACTCAAGCAAGGATAGTGATAGCAGGTGCTGGAGTTGTGGCAAATTCTGTAGCCTATCACTTGGTTCAGAATGGTTGGAATGATATTATAGTCCTAGAACAAGGGAAAATAGGCAGTGGGACCTCTCATTTCGGTTCCGGAACCTTAGGTTTGTTTAAACCTATCGCTCACAGAAACCTAATCTGGTACAGTATTAAACTATATCAACAATTACAAGATATGGGCTATGACATCCAAATGAGACAATGTGGAAGCATAAACTTAGCCCAAACGAATGATCGTTTAATAGCTTTAAAAAGACGACTGGCATACAATATCCCCACGGGGTTATACTGCGAATTACTTAGTCCAAACGAACTCAAAGACTTACACCCGTACTTAAGAGTAGATGACTTAAAAGGGGCTGTTTGGGTCCCTGAAGACGCCGTGGCCAACCCTAGAGCTATCTGTGATGTCCTGGCAATTCTAGCACAACAAGGGGGCGCGAAATACTTCGAACACACACCAGTCGACAAAGTACTTACCCAAAATTCAACCGTTTACGGCGTCGAGACACCAAAAGGGGTTATCAAATGCGAGTATTTCGTCAACTGTGCTGGGATGTGGGCCCGGGAATTGGGGCTGCAGTGTTCGCCACAAGTGCGCATCCCTGCATACCCAGCCCAGCATTTCTACGCAACGACGGGGCGCCTCACTCAAAGTAAATTTAAATTTTCTTAGTTTTAATTACAATTAAATTTTTAGTTATTGACGAATCAACGCCAATAATACGAGATTATGACGCTTTCACGTACGCACGGGAGCATGAAGGGGGCTTCATGATCGGGTGGTTTGAAGAAGAAGCCAAACCGGCGTTTGAAGACAGCCAAGTTCCGAGGGATTGGATGAGACACATCAAAAAAGATTTTAATCACTTTTGTGAGTTATTAGAAATGAGCTGAATCTTCGAGTAACACAATTTTTAGTTCCTTTATGGGAAAAAGCCGTACGCCGGATTCCGGAATTAACAAATTGCAAGAAACCGGAAATTGTTAACTCTCCTGATAACTTCACTCCTGATGGTCGCTGGATTTTGGGTGAAACGGCTGAAGTAACGAATTATTTTGTAGCTTGTGGTATGAACGGTAACTCGTTACAGGTAACTGTTAAAAAACGCATTTTTATATTAATGTGCATCGAAGTAGTCGTTGAAAGCAACCATGGCAATCATGCGAAAATTTAAATCCCAACCTCAATTTAAAAATTATTTTCTTAAATAAATATGTGTATCCCAGTTTTTGAGCTAGCAAAAAATAATTAGAATTAACGTAAATAACATAGGGTGAATAAATTTTTGTGTGAATCGGCCTTTAAATTAAAGATGCATTTATAATCGTTTTCATATTAATGTGCATCAAAGTGGTCGTTGAAAGAGATTACTTTAAGGTGGCAATCATGCGAAAATTCAAACAATCCTAACTTCAATCTTCCCTAAAAATTATTTTTTCAAATAAATATGTGTACCCCAGTTTTTGAGGTAGCAAAAAATAATTAAAATTAACAACAAACATAAAGATTTTTGTCATTAAATTTGTTCTGATGACATTAATGACACAAGTGTGAATCGGCCTTTAAACTAAAGGTGCATTTAGACTTCTACAACCTACTTGATGCACATTAATATAAAAAAGAGTATAAATTTCTACAACCCACTTGATGCACATTAATATGAAAAAGAGTGTATGTCTTATTTAGGGCGCGGGTGGGATTGGTAAAGCAGTAGCTGAGTGGATTATAGAAGGAGAACCCACTCAGGATCTTCTACCTTTCAATGTACAAAGATTTTTAGATGTTCATAACAGTCGACAGTATTTGCAACAAAGAATTAAGGAAATTGTGGGCAGGTWGTATGCATATTGTAGCAACAAGATTGTACTTTGTTATTTTAGGCATTATTCAATTTTGTATCCCTTCCAGTGTGAATATAAATACGCCAGAAAACTGAGATGCTCTCCACTTTACAGTGTTCTTGAAACAAAGGGTGCTGTGTTTGGGATCAAGATGGCGTACGAAAGAGCGCTTTATTTTGATTCCAGATACATGAGTAAGGCTTACGGTTTTGAATTCGTTAATTTATTAAAATTACAGGCGGTGACACTAAACCTATCATGCCTCCTGGTAGTTTTTTCAAACCAAAGTTTTTCGATTACATGAAAGAGGAGTATTTGGCGTGTCGGGAAGGTGTTGGTATTATTGACATGTCATCATTTTCAAAAATTGAAATAAAGGTAACTGTAATTTAATCTAAAACCGGTTCTAAATCCAGTCTAGTCAGACCATCTCGAWGTTGTCAATTATCTACAARGTTTGTGTTCTAATGATATTGATATTGCRGTGGGTGGTATAGTACACACGGGGATGCAAAATGAGAAAGGGGGCTATGAAAATGATTGTATGTTAGTAAGACAAGCAGATAACAAGTAATAAAAAATATCAAATTGACTCTTTTTTACTATATGATTTTAGATACTTTATGGTGTCACCAACTAGTCAACAAACACGAATCTATGAATGGATTTCGCGTAATTTACCTCAAAAATCCTCAATTGACTTAAACGACGTCACGTCGATGTATACAGTCATTAATGTGGTGGGCCCCAAAGCACCCGAACTACTAAATGAATTGTCTAACAGCGACATGAAACTATCACCGTTTTCTTATAAAAAAGTCAACATGGGTTATGCTTCCGATGTTATGGTTATGTCATTTACCCATACTGGGGAACCAGGATATTGCTTATACGTCCCATCAGAGTACGCTTTACACGTCTATTATAAATTAATGACAGTGGGGCGGGACTATGGGGCTCGCGATGTCGGCACTTTGACTCAAAGATTCATGCGAATTGAGCGTTTTATTCCGTTTTGGGCGGAAGAATTGAGTAGTTTTACCACACCATTTGAGGCAGGCAACAGCTATAGTGTCAGATTAGACAAAAAGGAGAATTTTATTGGAAAACCAGCACTGCAGCAACAGAAAGAAAACGGAGTTAGTAAACAACTCGTCCTCTTCCATTTAAATGATATTGACCCAGATAAAGATATTTGGCCATGGGGTGGAGAACCCTTGTACCGCAACAACGAGTTTGTTGGTACTGTCACTTCAGCTGGGTATGGGTTTTCAGCCGATAAGTTGATTTGTTTGGGTTTTATTCGTCGACCAAGATCATCACACATTAAGACAATTACTTCAGAATATATTTTGTCTAAAGAGGCCAAATATGAAATTGATATTGCAGGCACTCGATTCTCTATAACGCCATATCTTCATGCACCGCCTGTCACAAATGTGGTTAATTTAGGCCAAAAATACCGACCGACTGTTATTAGTTATAAAAGTGATGTAACAAGTAATAATTTTTGACTGATGTGACAAACTAGCAATATTTAGTTGAATTAAATTATTTCAATCTATTGATTTGTTTTATTTTAATGTATGTAGCGCGACCTCTAGTGCTGGCAAGTGCAAATAAAACTTGCCTTAAATGTTTAATTAAATAAACTACAGTTTTTCTTAATGTCAATGTTACTTTGCTTAATTACATTAATCAATTATGCAATTTAGTTGTATGTGTGGGACGTTTAATTTTTCGCACTTGAGTCGAGTGAGATGATGCAAAAGCGCGTTTCATTAATAATTATTTGGGCGGGCGCCATTTTTAATACCATTATGTCCTCAATAGGAATTGCTTTTAAAATCTGAATAATTGATGCGATTTTAAGGACTTGGGCTAATAACTTGTTAAGTAGAGTCATTAGAGTTCCTCTGTTATGGCAATCTTATGGAATGGTTAAGTGGTATAGAATCATTTATAATACACTTTGTTTCAAGCCGAAAGTGGAAAAACTCGACGGTTAAAATATTGTAATTTCGATTGTCAGATTTTTTCGTCGCATTTAGGGGTTCTAAAGAATACACACTTCTTCAATTCGTGTAAATTGGTAGAAGGAAAAGATTCGTTGCTGTGACATGTGACAATTGGCGCGGCTGAAGCCGGACTAAGTGGCTGTCACTTCTAATTTTTCGATGAAAATTCCCCTTTCGTAAAGTAAATCTCGATTTTTTCTTGATTCAATGACGTAACCCACAGTTAATAAAGCGGGTTAATGACTTTTAACGATTGATTTAGGTGTAGTTACAAAAGCCCGCATGTTTTTTTAATAAAATATCTGATGGGATAAATTAAACTGCTTTATATTATTTGTAGTGAGGAATTTTTGTTGACAATGAGAGAGTTATTGTAGGTATCTATGCTTAACCGTTATTTCAAGATGAGCTTTTTAATTGCTGATTCCTTTTCAAAAAGCCGCTAATACTTGGCTCTGGACAGGTTACGATTAATAGTGTCAGAGATCTAAATTTTTCCAACTAGCTTTCTGTGTGCGGAAAAAAGGTAACGAGGGTGCGTATTAGACACCTATAGTTTGCTCTTTCTTGACCTGAGTGTGGAGTACAAATGCAAGAGTCATCAATCTCTCAAACTAATTACTTTTAATGAAGCACGCCTTATGAAACTACGCCGGAACGGTATGTGAGGATGAGGGCATTCTTTGAACAATCTAATATTTTATATTTCTTGATAACCTACAATCAAGTGCTTACAGAAAAAAGGACACTTCCGCAAAATTCTTACTGCACATAAATTATCTCGGATCCCCCTACTGTAACCGGCTAATAGCTCTGGCATATTTTATTCGAAATTRCTCAGGAATTCGTTTTATTTCCATGATAGCATTTCGTGCTTACCGTATCGGAAAATTTTTTTGCATTTTTTTTTGAACTAAGTGAAACCATATCCAATTTTCTGGAGGAAAACATATTTTTTCACTACTAGTTGTATTATTTAGTTTGTCGAGAGGTTGTCAAGTTCTTTTTCTCTCAAAGTGGTCAATAATCATTTTGATGATAGATCAAAGACAATGAATTAGACGTAAATACCGATATTCATACAAATATGTTTAGAATATTATTTTTTAAAACTACTTATTATTAAGGCCCGGATTATATGCGTAAAATATGCGCATATTTTCACAAAAATGTGTAGAAGATATTAAGAAATATGCTCCAATATATGCCAAATATGCATTGATATGGAAAACTTTTAACAATAAAACATCAAAGTTGGGATAAATTTTTATTCTCGACTTTGTATTTTTGGCATCTTGAACGAAAGAGAATAAATAAATGGAAGGATTATAGCCATAACGGGTAAATAAAAAGTATGGAACCAAAAAATTGCTTAAATTATTTATTTTTTGGAAGAACTAATTAATGAATAATAAAGTACTATAAAAATGTGATGTTTTATGAAAAATAAAATTTTTCAAAATCTTTTGTTTTTAAGTTTTACAAAAATATATTTTTTAAATGACAACCCACTAAAAAAACATTTTTTTCATTGAGYTTATGATCTAAAAATTACAACTATCTAGTTTATATTCATTTTTTTTGACAAAAAAATTGCATAACTCAAAAACAAAACAATTTTTTTTAAATACGATCACATTTTTATATTACTTTAATTACCTAAACTTTTTCATTAAAAAACATCAGAATAAGCCCACTTTTAATTCTTCTGTCTTGGTCAAACTGTCAAAACAACAAATGGGTTTATTTCTTGTCAAAATACTATCGGTAGTGAGGCAAATTTTAACACTTTTTTTTCCTTTTCTTTGTTATTTTAACAAATGTTTCATATTATATGAAGTTAAAAAATTCATTAATAGATGCACAATTACAAAAATGACATAAAGAAATTCTTCCAGATTAAGTTAATAACTCAGGTAAGTAATTAATTACTGTTTGTAATAGCGAATTAACAAAAAAAGTAGTTGAATTACAACATGTTGCGTCTAAGGCAACATGGTCATTAAATAAAGAATATTTATTTTTTACCGTTGTTTTTGTGGTTAATAAATGTGCTAATAGTGAAAAAAAAATTATATAAAACATAGAGAAGATTTCTATAGCCTCGCATTTTTTATTATAAAAAGTCTCTTCTTTATCTTGTTATATAATATACATTATGTCTTCGGATTGAGTTTACAAGAGGAATAAAAAAAATTATCTTCGATTTTACGTCAAAACTGCAAAGGAAAAACATTTTTTGCTTTACCTGAAACGAGCAAATCTGTAATTAAAACTTCATTATTCTTATTCAGTGAAAAGAAAAGTTGATTTTTCTTTTGATTTTGGAATAATTTTTCTCTGCTCATATCATATAATTGGACAATGAATTTTTTAATTAAATAATGTTAGTTCTTGTTTAAAATGACTTTGTTTTTTTATGTTAATATCTTTTATATACTATTTTTAAACAAAAACGGAACATTTGCATTGTTAAAGACGATCAGCTAAACATAGACAGATTTTAAAAGTCATGTTGTTTGTTGAACGTTGTTTTCACTTATTTTAGACGCACTATAATTTCCACAGATTTTATCACGAATTTCTTGCAAAATAGAAAAACAGATAGTTGTTTTGCTTTAGATAATACTAATTAAAATATATGTTATTCTGATATTAACCTTATTGAGCGTCAATAATAAAAATGATGCTGTAATCATTTATTTTAAGTATGTTGTTATTTGGTTACTAAGCAGAGGAAAAATTAGGATTGAAAATATTGTTTTGCGGAAGGTATCGATAGCATAACGGAATTTCTATAATGGGCAGTGTTTACCCATAAATAATAGGAATAATTTTATTTGTTTTATTGACAAGTTTTGCAAATCGTAACTGTCTAAGGGTCAGTTCCAGTCAAGTGTTTAATAGTTGAATAGAAGTCAAAAATCGGTGTGAACTTTTGCGATCACATGCAGCTAAATATTGACTTAGTTTAGCAAATTGTCAAATTTGGGGTGTGTTAATCGCTGTGCACTAATGGTTTTTCTTTGAAATTTCACATACCTGGAAGAATTTGTCATTTAGTCCTTTAAAAGACGACAAATGATTCTTGTAATGGTAATAAATGAATCAGGACAAATGTGTGACGTTCATTAATTTTCTGGCAACGTTTTTCGGATTCGGATACACCATTGACCTCTTTAATTAAAACCAATTAATAAATAACGAATTAAAATGTAGGTATGCCGCCCAGTTGAACYTCACTTCAATTTTCTTGTTTGTGTTGTATTAAGATTTGTCTCAATTAAGTTCGAGGGCGCCAGCTCGTTGCATCGCCAGGAGCGTATTGTATTTAGCTTGGCTTGTTTCAACAACTCTTTATTGGTGTCAATCAAAGGTCAATTCTTATTAGGGATTGGGGATACGACAACACTGGGTTACATCATCTCGTTCTAGATATTTTCAGATTTGTTTAACAAGCTTTATTACAAGCCAAAGACAAAAATTTCGGTAATAATGGCGTCGGTTGCCTTGCAACCCATATCGACTCGTCCAAGGACATTAATCTGTAATAATCGGGAGTCTTGTCGGGTTTTTGTGGAGATTTAAGTAGAAAGAGCAGATTGCTTTATCGCAAGTAAGGACAAAGATGGTAACCAGGGTAACGGTTGACCTGCTGCGATTGGCTACTAGAAAACTGTCAATAGATACGCCCACGTTCCTATGTGACAGGACTCCCTCCCTCGCAGGATAATCAGGTAACTGTTCAGAGATCGTCGAACTAATTACAAGTCAACAGGTGTACCAACATGGGATGTTTATGTCGCGCCGCGTGCATTATCATATCGGTTCGGAATCGATAGCTTAATTGGTTATAGAGAAATAAGGCGAAGGGCGCCTCTATCACACTTGTCATCTCGGGTTGACAATGCTTTTTTCATTTAAAATTTTGACGCGAGCATTGATTTTTTTCGACGAGATGTCTTTTGAATTCAAAACAAGACCAAATGAAAAGTGTCAATCAACCACACTGGTCTTTGTATACGATGTCAAAGGTTGAACAGATAAAAAGTTCATTTCCTTTTATAAACATGTTTATTTATTCAACTCGATTTTCTTGATCCACAATTTTTCGAAATCTTAATTTTAGTGCAATTAGTAAGGCTCGGATTATATGCACGTATTTTCACAAAAATATGCACCAGATGTGAGAAATATGCTCCGATATATGCCAAATATGTAGTGATATATAATCAAAGTTGGGATAAATTTTTATTCTCGACTTTGTATTTTCGGCATCTTGAACGAAAGAGAATAAATAAATTGGTTTTGCCTCAGACAAGCCATTTTAATAACCTAGTAATTAACCTTTTCTAAGAAATCTCTAAAATTCACTTATCCGATTGGAAGGTAAATAAAAAGTATGTAACCAAACGTTTTTTGCTTAAACTATTTATTTTTTGGAAGAAATAATTAACGTATGATAAAG